TATTTACAGTCACAGATGTGCAGTCATCACATATGGTTAAATAAGAAGGTTTCAGAATAGAACTTATGTAATGAGCCTATTTTCACAAAATGACAAAAATATATATATACATATATGTGGATGGGTAGATATAATTCTATTTATATAAAGTTCAAGATACAGCTAAGACTGACCCCTGGTGCCCAACCCTCAAGCAGGAAAGGACAGTCTCTGAGGAAGGTTCTAGAAGGAACTGGTCAGGGGATTATAGGTCCATTTACTTTGTGATAATTAAACTATACTTTTATGATCTGAGCACTTTTCTATAGGTATGTTACACTTCAATTTTAAATTTTGAAATAGAAATTTAAAAATAAAGTATGTGTATAATCTGTCTCTCTGAAAAAGCCTGAAAGGATATTTAGCACAAGGTAAACAGCATCTCCAGGTAGCAACAACTGTAATATATTTTTAAATTTCTGCTTATTTGAATACTCCAGTTTTTGAAGTAACATACATTACACATAACATACATTATTAGAACACACACTCTGTGTGGGAAGGAGAGTAACCCTCGAGGTGCTATACCCACACACACAGTGGTCAGGAGCCCTGGGGAGAACACACACTGCAGCCACAGGGAAAACCTGGGCAGGGGCAGAGGAAGCAGGACACGCTGAAGGAGGCTTCAACAGTGCAGTTTTCCAAGAGATGGCTATGGAGACCAAATCAGTCTCCCTGCCAGCTCCCCATGTACTTCTTGGCACCTCGGCCTGCCCCACCTAGACAACACATTCTGCTCCTCTTAAAACTCAGGCATCCTGGTTTAGATGTCCCGGTTCCCCAATCCCCACTTTCAGAGTTCCGGTTCCCAGTCAGTGCAATGCACCTGGTTCATTGCTAATCTTCTGAACGGTGTCCCCCCCCTTGAGCCTTACGCCTAGACCTGGGGAAGGCCAGGTCAAGCTACTGTCCCCTCTCAAGTCCAAGGCAGACATCAGTATTGATCATGAAAATCAAATGGCTAAGGATCATTTTAATGGTAACTCAATCAAAATTCAGGGAAAAACAGAAGTTGATCTGCAGAAATCCTAATTCTAGACAACTTTTCAGAAATTCACTCTCCTAAAAGTGCATACACTCCTCACCTGGATGTGATAGTGCTGTTTCTAATCCAGAATGTGCCTAATCAGTTCTTTCAACAATCAGACACCAAACACAGGACAATTCTCCATTGACAGCGGGCATTCAGTGACACACTACCAACAACTGCTCATGCTTGAAAGTCATGGCAAGAAGAAAACATACTAGAAGGCAGGAGTGTGCCCAGGGACCCCAGCAGAAGCCACAGGTGGTCCCCCACCCAACAGAAGGCAGGAACATGCCCAGGAACCTCAGCAGGAGCTACAAGCAGCCCCTGCCTGACAGAAGGCAGGAGCGCTCCTGGGGACCACAGCTCTCAACACTGCTGCAAACACTGCTTCTGCACAGGTGGTCCACCAAGGCACTGCCGCCACAGGGGCAGCTTGCCACCACAGCAGCAGCCACAGCCACCGTGCAGGTGGCCCAGCGACCACTCAACTGCACTGTCACAAGCAGAGTCATCAGCAGAGTCAGGAAAAAGATGTGGAAGTCTCTCTCCTCAAAGCCCACTCCAGAGTAATAGAAGAATCAACTGCTCAATCACATGACCAGATGTCAATGCAGAGACACTAGAAATATGAAAAAACAAG